GACCCAGCTCCCTGCCGCTATTCTAGCCATCACTGACAATAGGTACCCACAGTTGTCTATACCTGGCCTCAGCGAGATAAGGGGCACAGATATGTATATAAAGCGTTGTGTTCCCACTTTCGTTTCCTTTTCTTCACGCTTCGTCTTGTATATTAGGCCCAACCATAGCTCTCCTGACATTACAAAGCTCTAGGATAAGAATTCTTGTTAATTCAGATTAAGAATTTATTATATAAGCGTCTCTTCTTTAGTTAAAGTCAAAATATATTAAGTATTACACTCTTTAGTCTTTAGGGTATAGCCCTTTATATAATTATAAAGAGTAGTTTAAAGAACGTTATACATCTTTATAATATATTAGATTAATATTTCTTTGAGTCCTTTTTACCCACAGAAGCTATGGCTAACGCCTGGATACGTCTTGATGACAACATAGTGTGACTATAAGAACCCTCTTGTATACCTATCTCTACGCATAGTCCGGCTCTAATCCTACACTCCCTAGCCCTCTGAGCACCTAGCCTAAGATCCGACTTAAGGCCTAATAGCTCAGACCTTGTTAGTAATAGCTATAGTCCTGCAACAGAATTAATAACTCTAGTATATACCTGCGAAGTCAGAAAAGACTGCAGACGTTCCTATATTTAGTGGCCTAAGGCCTAATACCTACAAAGACCTAAAGAGGTTCAGAGTAGGCCTTACTTTAAAATTCAGAGTCAATGCTAATAGATACCCCACGCCTATGTTACGTGTCTACTACGCATTCTCTTGACTTACAGATCGTGCCTTAGACGTCGCTCTAGATAACGTTAATAAAGGGATCTATCCGGATTAGATAGATCTAATCGAAGAACTAAAGCTTAACTTCAGTGATGCTGACCTGGAGTACTCTGCCATCTGCTGTCTTGTAAAGACGAGGCAAACGCATCAACCCTTCTCTGAATTCTATCCGGAGTTCAAGCAGACCGCTAGAAGAACGCTATTTCGGGACTATAGTCTTAAGGGACTATTCTAACTTGCACTATCTAAGGAACTTACAGAGAAGCTGGCTATAGTTAACGTCAGAGACATATTATATAAAGCCTTCGTCTAAGAGTGTACTTGGCAGGACAACCTATTACGCGCTACGCTATCACGATAGACAACTAGGTCATGAAAGCCGCCTATAAGTTCAACTGTCTTAGTTCCGGCCCCCGCCTGTCCTGTCGCGCCTGCCCCTGTTTCCTATGACCTTATAGACATAGATTACTCAGCCTGCAGAGCCTTTAACGAACGTAAAGCCGAACAAGAACGTCAACATAATTTAAGCCTTTATTACTACTGCATAGGCCCGGACCACAGAGCTAATATATGCCTAGAAAAGCTAAAGCCAAAGCTACGAAGTAATCTTCGTACCGTCTCTTCTACACCTACTATAGCGTCCTCAACTCCGGTATTCACTTTAGTAACCTCGTAAGTAACTACACTTATTGCCTTAGCCTCCCTTGCCCCTTTTTCTCTGTCTGGCAGTTATATTAATACAAAGTTATTAAATAAAGCAACCCTAAACTAAGTTATATTTAGGGGACTAAGAAGAGGTTAGCTGCTACTAATATAATAGATAGCCTAGTAATACAATTAGGTTCTATTTCTTTATATTTAGCAGACCTTCTTTTTGACTCTAAGTGCCTCTTAATTAAGTATAACGTTAGATAATTTAAATGTTAAGCTCTAATTAACTCTGATTATTCTGTAATAATATGTATTAGTAAAGCTTTTACATAACTCTTCCTTTATAAAAAATTAGAAAGTCAAAGAACTATAGTAGGCTTTGATAATTAGACCTTTATAATAACTTATATTGCTAAAGTTCCCCTGTCCTTTACACCTTCTAATATTTATTAAGAAGTCCTATTAATATTTGTCGTCTTTAAACTAAAATATAATATTATTCTTAGAATGCTCTAGCTTAAATAATATAATCTGATAATAAATTAGGTATTAGAGACTATTATATATAATATAAAACACTATTATAATTATTGCCTTCAGAAGAATAAAGGATACCCTATTACTTTTAAAGCTATATAAAGAGTATAGAATAATAAACCCTGAGTCTAAAGACAAATAAAAGCTATAAATATAATTATAATACTAATTATAATAGGAGTAATAGTCTTTAATTACTTAAGCAAGCAAAGAAACTATAAAGTCTTTGCAGTATTATTAAGAGACATTAAGAAAGCCTTGAAACCTAAAGAAACTATAGATCCCTAGACCAGACTTCTTAAGTAATACCATAAGTTCCTGTCCTTATTTAATAAAGCTGCTACTGATAAGCTTCTATTACACCGCCCTAGAGTAGATTATAAGATTAAGTTATTATCAAATACTAAACTATTATCCAGAGCCTTATACAGTATATTTAAAAACGAATTAGAGGTCCTAGACAAAATATTAAAGGACTACTTATTAAAGAACTTTATTCACATATCTAAGTCCCTTGCTGCTGCCCTAGTCTTATTTGTTAAGAAACCCAGAGAAGGTCTACAGTTTTATATAGATTACTAGGGTTTAAACACTATTATAATTAAGAATAGATACCTGATTCCCCTGATTCAAGAGACCCTAGATAAGCTCTGCAAAGCCATATAGTATACTAAGTTAGATATTGTTACTATCTTTTACAGAATTAGAATAGCCTATAAGAACGAATAAAAAATAGCCTTCCGCATATATACAGGCTTATACAAAATAAGAACGAATAAAAAATAGCCTTCC